AGAGAAACAGTTGTCCTTTTACTTCCTGGAACAACTCTGAGGTTTCCAATCGTGTCTTTAACAACTGCTAGTAAAAAAAGTAATAAAAAGAGTTGCATTTGGTCTCCACAAGTTCCATGACTCGAAGTTGTCAAACCTTATCGCCGCCGTTAGGTCCCAAGGCATGTCGCGGCGACGCGCCAAAATTAGGCTGCACCAGGGCACATCATTGGTTGGGGATTACAGTCGAGTCTGTACGAGATCGTTCTCAGATTTTCCCCAAACTTCAAACTTCCTGCCCTTTTTCCAAAGTTTCCCGAAACTTCCCACCCTTTTTACAATTTTCAAAAATTTGCTGTCGAGCGGGGGCGGGAGGTACATATATAGTACGCATGAAACAGGAAAATCACGAAAAGTCAACCACCACTCCCAACCACTCCTAGAAGGCCAAAAGTAAATACGACCCCCTCCCAACAGTGACCAAGTACGACCCCCCCTTTACAACGTCCGTGAAGCGAGAAAAATCAAATATCAAAATTTTTCCCAGCCCAATCGGTAGGTCTTTAGGATCCCTAGCAAACTTGGGCGCATTCTATTTAGGTTTCGCGTCGGGAACTATCTGTAGCCTTTTAACTGCAGACGCTGGGGCGTTCCAGGAAGGCTGGGCTTAGCACAGCGCGAGCCAGTTACCCACTAGTTGGAGCGGCCAAGCGACAATGATTGGTGAAAAACGGATTGGTGTTGCGCGAAACCCAGCCCACTGACAAGCTCCAGTGCCCAAAGCGAGAACCTATAGCTATGGGACCATGTTCCTAGTTGACCTGAAATTCAGAGGCTCTAGCCGCTCATCGAAACACGGCGACTAATTTTACTATTACTACTAGTGGCAGGGTTGACCCTTCACTTCGATCTTCAAATGAGCTGCTATCGGAATAAGACTTGGACCAGAAACGTACCTTTTTACGCGGTTCCATGTAGACGATACCAGACGTGACTATTGCGATGCCCTCATCTTCCAGCAGTGCAATATCTTCTGCTCCGTACTCTGATGGTTGAGTAAATCATTAAATGGTGTTCAAGAATCCTTCCGGACACATGGTACGCTCAAACACATTGAGGGTGTATGAGACTATCAGCCCCCCAGCTGTCGATGTGTCGTGGTTTCCCCCGCCCAAAACTGCACGGGGTCAGAGTACGGGGCTGTGGGAAAGTCTAATTCCTTGCTACACCGCCCAAAATGCAACTTGCGGCGCAAACTCCTTTATGTTACAGTCGTCTGCGCGGCGCGTGTCGTGTCTCTGCTTTTTGCCAAGTCCTGTAATTGCGCTTTGGAATACAGGTAAAGCGCAATTTCCTGATGCGGATAACATTTGTGGTGTTGCTCATATTTCAAAGTCCGAATAGAAGGTGATGAAGATGACAAAGGCTAGAAATGAAGAACAACGAATAGAGATGTAGATGAAACAAATATGAAAAAAATAAAGGAAACGCAAACTAACTAAAATGGCGTGTAAATTTTTAAGATCCGGTGCCAATTCGGCTCCAAAACCATAGAAATACTTTAAACTAACCAGTGCGACGCTTAGACCGTTTTTATTCTCATGTTTTGTGAAATGCCGCGGCCCCGAGGGGATCTGGAGAAGCCAGCACAGTTGTTCCGAGCGCAATTACAGGACTTGGCAAAAAGCCAAGAGAGCCGCGCGCGACACGCGCCGCGCGGACGGCTGTTAGCATAAAGGAGTTTGCGCCGCAAGTTGCATTTTGGGCGGTGTAGCAAGGAATTAGACTTTCCCACGGCCCGTACTCTGACCCCGTGCAGTTTCGGGCGGGGAAACCACGACACATCGACAGCTGGGGGGCTGATAGTCTCATACACCCTCAATGTTTTTGAGCGTACCATGTGTCTTTAACTGAGCACTTACGGATTCCTTCAACCTTTCTGCATGCGCCTGGTCGATGATTGTACACCCTTTTGTTGATGTCCATTGACAGCCTGAAGAAGTGCATTTAGCATACCTAACCACATAACTAGTAGTTTCTGTTCAGCGCTTTCTTAGCCTGCGTTCATACTTTGCGGCAGCGTCCACCAGCGACCATCAGCGTTTCGGGCGTCCGGTAGCGTCAGCGACTAGAAAAGTGTAGATATCGATCTACCAGCGTCCAGGAGTACGGTATTGTGTCTAGTACGGTGAGGTTGCACAGACATCACAGTTTCACGACGCCTAATCCAGCTGTCCGCTCCCTTCTACTTCCTCACACTCTCTATTCCTGGTAGCTGGTGGACGCTGCTAGGAGCTAGATCGATACCCATACTTTCCTGGTTCCTCGAGACGCTAGTCGCTGGCGGACGTGGTGGAGCTGCCGCAAAGTATGAACGCAGCCTTAGAGAGGTAATTTTCACCCGATGACCTTCTTCCTATTTACCTTAGCCCTAAAAAACACAAGTGAATAAAATAGATATAGATTTAGTCTATCCTCGCATACTGCCCGTCCGCGTCACGTACACAGTTCTTGCGTTAGCGCGACCTTTCTTACAACATATCCAAACATAGACCCCATACCCGGAGTTGGAGACGGCACGTACTTCATTCAAGCCTGGCTATGGCTGCGCTTCAGGACGGATATTTTAGTTCTGGAACCATCGTAATCATGTCTTTTTCTAGCTTATCACTGAATGGCAGCTGTC